CTATAGTTATTTGTTTGTGCATCTGTTTTAATATGAATTTATTTTGCATGTAATCATTGTTTACTCATTTTTTCGCATAGTGATTTAATGAAATGTCCATGAAACGACCCAACGATATTTGAATATATACACACGTATGTACAGAAGTTTGTATGTAAGCGATTAGAGAAGAGAGTAACGCACTGTAACAAAAGAAAGTAAAGAATAAAGAGTGCAGCGAATTTGTGTATATTTTAAACGAAAAATATAAAGAAAATTTAAACGAGTAGCAAAACAAGAAACAACTAAAAGTTACAAAAAAAACACCACAAAATAAGCATTCGAACGCATAATAAACGCCACAGATCTACAAATTACAAAAAAAAAAAAAAAACTGCATTAGCAGCAGCAGAAACTCAACAACAAAAACAGCAAACATTTATAACAACTTGTGTTCAACAGCAAGCGCTTTTTATTAGTAATTGCATTGCAATAGATTTGCTTTTGAGGAAGAAGCAAAACACTTTGGTTATTTTTCACTGTCAAGCACAAAAGTACGAACCACTTAAAACATCATGGGTTGCACCACATCGGCCGAGGAACGTGCTGCCATTCAGCGCTCAAAACAAATCGAGAAAAACCTAAAGGAGGATGGCATACAGGCTGCGAAAGATATTAAACTTTTACTACTGGGTAAGTAGAAAATATTTTGAATACCATCATTTACTCTTCACTCTTATTGTGTCTCAGTGCTATTTATATTTTACTTAGTTGTATTAATAGTTACATATTTTAGTTAATGTAGATTAAAACACTGTATAGGTTAAACTATGGTTCAGTGTTCTAATAATTTGTGAAACGATGACCTAAGTTGATTATAACTTCGCATTCGCGTTCGCATTCGCACATTCGCATTCCGAAAATACGCATTCGCATTCGCGAATGGGAAAAATATGACATTCGACACATCCCTAATACGTACATATGTAGGTATGTATGAATTTATGATATATCGTCACTTAGCGCGCAATACCTGGAATACGCCAAATGCAGTTTCACAAAAGGGCAAATACTTAAACATATTTTCTTAAAATCTTTGGCATCGTTTTCTAAATGAACTTAATAAATATGAGCTTCTACTAAATGTGTTTACCATTCGATTTGGGAAGTAGCATTGAAGCAGGGTAACCAAAATTTTTTTTTCTGTGCCACCTTATCGTGGTATTATTGTATCCGATAGAGATGTTCGGTGTGAGTAACGAATACAGTATTACAGTGTAGGAAGGATCCCTTTATTAGTAAAGTTATGAATATACATATGTATGTATAATGTGACCAACCGTACTTCTTTCGGAAGTACAGTACTTCTTTACTTCGTTCTTCGAAGTACAGTCAAATGTAGACATCTCAGTTAAAAAAGGTACTCATATATCAACACATAAATTATGACTGTGGAATAACTCACTTCGTTATAAATAGATACTCAATCAAGAAAAAGTAAAAGATGTTTAAGAGTTTACGGGGTGTGCTTAGCTCAACGGTTAGTGCAAGGCGCATCTATGTATTTATACAAGGTGGTGTTACTAGAACAGCTGATTGGATATTTTTGTCTCTACACTAGTACAGAAGAATGCCATCCAAGACGAAATGGCGTAAATGTAGGATGTCAACAAAATGAAATAGCGAAAACTATCTCCTATTTTCTTTCGTTTTGACATCCTGATGTACCAAAAAACAATAACAAAATAAACGGGATTTTCACTTATATGCAATTGCCACCACCTTATATGGATGCGCCTTGGGTTAGTATTGCTGACTTTGCATGTCGATGATGCAGATTCGATTTCTGCTGAAGTCTGGACAAAGAAATCTGCGGATCTCGAAATAGCAACTATAACTTTTGTCAACAATAACAAAAAAAGTATATAATTTTTTTTTGGGCAAGATGCCATAGGAAAGCAGGCTTTGAGCTGCAATTTGCAAAGCGAATACCTTTTCATTTAAAAAAACTGATTCGAAAATTATTGCCCGGTGTAATATCATGGAAAATTATGATCTTAAGAATGTCCCAATAGTAATGAAGAAACCATCGTTAAATTATAAGTGAAGTATTCGTATTTATAATATACCTCGGCTATAAGCAACTTAAGCAAGTGAAAGTTTAACCGTTGTTCCTTTTTTATGCGCTAATTTTGTATGGTTATTGAATAAAGCCAAATTTTAATTAATAACATTTGTTTGTGTTTGTATATTTTGCTTTTACCATTTTCTCATTACCTCCATACTATTTTTGGTTCTCAGGTCCTGTACTTCTTTGCGCTACAAAATAGTTGGTTATATTACGTATGTAGTTACCCAGCGAAAAATCGGGAATCGCTTTTTGTGGTAACGTGTTCTAGAACGCATTGCCTTATAAAATTTTCTAATTTGTTCGCTTCTTTTAGGTATTTCCGGTAATGCATAGCAGAATTTTCTACAATATTTTATTAATTTCGATGCTTTGACTTATTACGGGGAATGCGAAGTAGAATGCTTCACCGTAGTCAGCTGAAAAATAGCATAAATATCCAAAAATTCTTTTCTACCATTACTTTCTGTAGAAAATTCCATCGCGTAACAGTTGAAACACAATGCCAGCGAACGGCGAATTTTTCGCCGCGAATGTTCGCTGTAAAAATTAAAACACAGTGTCGTATATGAGAACACGCACAACCAAGGCAAACGACGACGTTCGCCCGAAGACTGTCCGCGACGATAGACTAATACGATCCATTGTGGCCACATGATAAATATTCTCCGGTTTTTGAATCGAAATTGAAAAATACTGTATCAGTTTTTGTTAAAAATTAATAATCTTGTTGTTTGTAAATTTTAAATTGTACCTTGTCATAAGCAGCTGAATTCGTTGTCGCCGTGATTGTGTTTTACTAGCGAAATTTTTGGGCGAAAGATGCTGCCGTCGTCGTCTACTAGGCGAAAATTCGCTGTTCGCAGGTATTGTGTTTCAACGGCAAAAATCATGTTTTGCTTTGTTTAATTTACAGCGAAAAATACCTAAACACATAGATATGTACATTAGGGTGCCCATCGAAAAGTTTTTTTTTTTTGGAATTTTCAAGACCCTACCCCTAATTTTATTCGTTTTTATAAGAAATATTATTTTCTATTTTTATAGATTTTTTGAAGGTCTTTTAGAGGTCGTGACCTGTCGATTCAGGTCAGAAAATAGAATTTTGTAGATTTATGAGTTTTTGAATGACTATTTTTGATTCGATTTCAAAGATCGAATATGATCTGGGAAGAAGATATATAGGCCTTTAAAATGGTATATAATAATCTATTTAATTTTCACATCTTAATACAGTCTGTATTTTGTGTTTTCAATTTAATGAACATTAGTATGTACTTATCTAGGCATTCTATATTAGTTTCTCTGTAAGGCATTCTTTGTTCGCTTCTCTGGATTCTGTTTATCCATGCGACATACCCATGTAAAAATAATGGCTTCTTGAAGCGAAAGAGTAATCGATTCCCATCGCCTAATTCGATTCCATTTTAATTTCTGTGGTAATCGTGTTTTTTGCTGGTTATTAGGGTAATTGACCCGATTTTTCCATACCGTTTTCTGCTTCTTGATGTTGTGAGACAAATGGAGAAATCTAAACTTGTACACCACGTCCCAAGAAGGGTTTTTTTTTTGTGGCAGAAGTACACTCGGAATTTAGTTTAGATGTTGCTGGGACCGAAAATTTAACCATGGATCTCCCGAGTGGCAGTAGACACCTCTAAGCACTCGGCTACGGCGGCAAAACCACTATTCTAAACCGAAAAAAACAGGAAAAAATGCAATAAAGCTTAAAAAAAAAAATAATAAAATAAGAACAATGGTGAATTTTCCACTGATTTTTATTTGCTTTACTTTTGATCTAAAAAAAAAACTTTATAATCATTTTGCTCTTTTCTAGCTAATTACCACCATAAGCTTTTCTTGATTTTAAAATCGCAAACAGGTTTTTTCAAATTGCAGCTTTTCGAATAACTCAAAACCCGGTTTTGGAAAAGGCGAATAATCGAACACCCTAGTAGTTATGAACATTTCATTAATACGCACAGATACACGTATGCATAAACTAATCAATGTTTTTTTTTTAGTACAAGTTTGGAATAAATCTTTTTCACTTCAAAACCACGGCCTCATTATTTTTTTTCTGTATTATTTATACATATTTTAGTTTAAAATGCCATCTTTCTCACTTTATTTGCATTGAAAAGATTTTTTAGTACTTGATAAAAAACAAAATCGATTTCCACGAACTTATGAACTTAAAATAAAAGTTTATCGCCCAACAATGAATTCGCATTATTTCCGCTCTAGTGCACTTTATTGCTGTTGTCGTTGTTGCTGCATTGTAAGCTCCCATTGTTTCGCTGTTCATTACATCGTGTTTATGTTTAAAAGGATCGTGTAATTGCTAGAAAAGCAATATTATATTCAGCAAACTTGATGTTGTTTTGAGCTTTGCCATTGCTGTTGTAGACAGTTCTTCTTTTCTATTGTTGTACGTCAGTGTAGTTTTCCACAAGTAAATTGCTTTTAATCCTTGGTGCTCGACGTAGCTGCCATGAATGTCACTTGACAAGAAGCACACGAAAGATTCGCTTTATAGGATAACACATACATATATGTAGGTATATCTATGTACATATATCAATGTGTATGTATACGCCTGAATAGTCTGAGCACTTGTTTGAATATATACATACATATATAAATAGTATGTAAGTATGTATGTACTTGTATGCAGTATGAATATGCTATGCCATGTCCCAAAACGCAGTAACCTTACTAAGTACCAATTCGTATATCTACTCATTTTCTTTTTTTCCTTTTGGCGGCGCTGCAAAGGCTCCGGCAAATCATTGTCTGATGCGCGACTATGTACATTGTGCAAAGTTGCTGCAACAAATAGTACAAACTCACGCAAATATGCATCTTCCACTTGTCTGATTGCAGCTTACTATCGCACACTTTTACATATATACATATATACTAACTGTCGATTCCTTATGTATGTACATACACACATATATATGCATGTATATGCACTGTGTACTCAGCCTTACACCCAACTCCCACTTGCACTTTTAACTATTCGTTGCAATCTGCGAACTAACTGTGAGTACTTTGCTTTATGTGTCTCCGGAAGTTAAGGTATGTAAGATGGTATCCCAATAGGAAATATGTACCAATAGCTAACAAATTTTCATGAAAAACAATAAAAACACTGGATCACAAATTTTGGGTTGGGTTTTTGTTCTCCAGACGCCACTATCCAATTTCTATGTAGAATTGCTCGGTGATTCCGAAAATCGGGTTAATTTTTTTCGGCTTAATTAAGTTACTGAAAATTAAAAACGAGGGATAAATAACAAATAATGAGTGGTCAAATGAAAATGCGCAAAGATTTTTTGTATGATTAATTAATTGGATTTAACGATGAGCTGTATGAGCTTTACAACGATATAGACATAGTGCAGCGAATTAAAATTCAGCGGCTCCGCTGGCTTGGCCATGTCGTTCGGATGGACAGAAACGCTCCTGCTCTGAAAGTATTCAACGCGGGCCGCGATGCTGGTAACAGAGGAAGAGGAAGGCCTCCTCTGCGTTGGAAAGACCAGGTGGAGAAGGACTT